GCAGTACTGCAAGCAAACTCTGCCCACAGCCTGGAGTTCAATCCTGAAAGGAATCAAGGTTGACTCAGCCTTCCATCCTTCCAAGGTCAGTAAAATAGAGGCAGTATTAAAATATTGCTTCTGCATTGTAAACTACCCAGGGAATACTGCAAAGGACTATAGGGCAGGATATACGTCTAAATGCTATTGCTGCTATTTGTTTGTCCAATTTAGATACCATCCATTTCATTCACTCATTCCTGGCTAATGCTAAGACCAGAGTTCCTTTTCACCCACACAGCTGAATTCATTTCCCACTCAAAACAGTGGAGCTCAGATATGACTTGCAATAATAATCTTCATGTTACCTGAGATTCAGCCAGGTTTGAAGGCTTCTGCAGACACCAAATCTCTTTGCCTAACTTGGAACAAGCATGCTTTAAGGAGTCTTGTGCTTCTCTTTGTGATTGATATCATTTCCACCTAAGTCCCCAAAGGGAGGTTGTAGCTTCCATCTCTTCACCTGGTGGCTTTGGAGTTGATGAATATAAGAGCAATAGCTGTTTCAGACTTTCAGCCAACCCAAAGGGGCATCATGAATTGAGGAGTGCATTTATACATTCATCTCCTTAACAGGAGATCATTTTAGTGACATATTTGTCCTGCCAATTTCTTTCGTTTTTACTTGATTATCCATCTTGGAGAAGGAGAGGGAAAGCCATATTAGCACTGAATAACCTAATACCGAGGATAGGTTAAGGAACTCCCATTTCTTGCCCAGGGGTGGGATTCAAATTTATTAACAACCGGTTCTATAGAACCAGTGCGAACCGGTAGAAACCCACCCTTGTTCTTGCTTCCATGCTTTGGAATTGGGGTTGGAATTGGCGTGCAAAGAGGTTATATGCCTACGGAGATATTTGTCATCGTTTTGAGTTATGAACTCAGGGAAGTCAGGTCTTTGGTCGGGTTCAAGAGATCCTTTATTGAGTACATCATATTGGCACTTAGAAAGGTGAAAGTAGCTCTAAATTATTCCTGTGCTTAGGGATAGTTAAAAGAATAAGACCTGCCCACCCGCCCCTTTGTCTCTCAGTGGTCTGACCTAGGATTCACAAAATCACGAAACAGACTCCTTATCCCAACAAAACCCCTTTTATTTGTGAATTCCTATAATTCGCACCCAGCAAAGTCCCGGCAAATAGTCTTGCAAGGGTAAATTACAACCACAGATACCATATCAGGCTTGGAGAATTGCCAAACCGATAGCTTCCAAGCGTAACGCTGTACAAGAAAATACTTGGCAAAGAGTCTCTTGAGAGTCACGCAAACGGGAGGGGGGGCGGGCATTTTTGCCCTCTCCGGCCTCCGGAAGCTTTCCTCAAGCCTCCAGGAGGGCCTCCCCAGGCCTCCTGGGGCTCCGGAGCCTCTCTGGAAGCTGGAAATGGGCCCATTTCCAGACTTCCCAAACTTCCGGGAGGCTTGTTTTTTGCCCTCCCCGAGCCTCCACACACACCCTGCACTTACCTGCATCCAAAACGGGCCACATGAGGATTCAAGGGACGGAAGGGGTGGGTGGGGCGGGGCCAGCCGGGACTGGGATTTGTGGGTTCTCCAAACTGCACAGAATCCTAGCTAAAGGCTCTCTCGAACCCTGCGAACCCCCATCAGCCCAGTAACCCCCGGTTACTCTTGGAATATCGGATAACGTGCTCTGTGGAGTTCAAGTCAGAGTTTCCATCACTAGGACCTTTCTACCTTTCTCATAGCTCCCGCTTTTTTGCATCAGAACAAATAAGGATAAGATTAGCATCTGTTATATGGGAAATCATGTTAACGTCTACCAGTGCAGACAGCAAAGCAAAACAAATGTGTAGTTTTGCCAACAGTTGCCTCCTGGGCTTCTCTTCTTCCATAGCTTCTCGACATTCAGCATCAACCCTAGGAAACTTGACTGAAAATCTGAGTTTTATTTATTTCATCTGCAACCTTTAAACAATCAGGGTGGAATTGGAACAATCACTGTGCATGCAATGTTGTGTCAACAGTGATATTCTCGAGAGAGAAAGACCAAGCAAGAGAATATCAAGATCATCTAAGAACAGCTGAGGTATGGATCTGCGGTGTGTCTCTCTCCCATCCCCTTAAATTTGTCTGCGGGGTTACTTTTTTTCCTAAGGGTATTTTGATCCCTGTTTTTGAAAGCAGTACCCAAATGGCAGGTGGCTACCCTCCCTGGTGTGAAGCTTCATTTGTTCACTTGGCAGAGCTGCAGCAGAGTGGCAGGGCGCCAGCTCCGACAATGCACAGTTTCCTGTTGGGCAGGGATGGGATGGAGAGAGAGGGAGGGAGGAGGAAGGAAACTGGGTCTGTATGCTCACTTTGGGTTGGTGTTTATTGAAAATGCACCCAGCAGGAGCGCAGCCAGCTGAAAGGCTCAAGAGTGCCCTGCAAGAGAGAATAAACTTGTTTTGTCCTCTGGCCTTCAAATTGGCAAGCCCAAGGAAAAGCTGGGAGGACAGATAGGGACTCCTAATGCATCCGAGTTCAAATTATGCCATAGCATGGCTTCTTCCAGCTGCAAGGTTCCCTTGTCTCAAAGAGTTTGGGGATTCCAGCTGGGCTAGAGGCTGTGGCAGAAGATGGAGATGCCACCATGGCATTTTAAAAGAAAAAACAATGGGAGAAGAGCTATTACAGGAGTGAGCCGGGGAGACGAATGGCTTGGCTAGACAGTCCTTTCTCAGAGTGGAAATGAAAGAGGTGATGATGTCTCTGTTGAAATGAAAGCTTGCTGGCTGAAAATACAGCCCTGAGGAAATACTAAGAAAAATAGGAACCTTGCTGGAATAGGAACCTCGCTATTTGATGTCCGTGTCCAAGTAGGCCTTTCTGTTTTCTTTGAGACAAACTTGGTTGGTTTCACAATTCGGTCGTTTTATTGGGTTGCAAATTACTTAGGTTCCTGAAGGCCCAAATAGCATTGCAGATAAGTGACAGAGGAGCTTGTTCTGAGGGAATAAGGTTTTTTTTGTTTTGTTTAAAGGGCTAGATTTTGGGATTCAGTTCCTGGCCTCCCTAGTCCCAAGGTGGGCAGAGGAAAAGATTTTCAAAACTTTGAATATTAAGGCAAACCAGAGGTTAAAAGCATCCGATAGAATGGTTCATTTGACCGTGGGGCTTTTGGTTGTAACCATGGGCTTATCAGTATGTCTGAATCTGTTCATTCAACTCCAGGAAAATCACGTCAGGTGAGATGTTAACTCTGATGGTACCTTATCTTCTAGGGGCTATTTTATATGTTCCCATCATCAGGAGATGCTGCTATCCTGAAATGCTGAAGCCATTTTAGGAAAACAGTTGCTAGGATCGTCATCCTTCAGAAAATCCAGAAGCCTTTCCTAGCTGGATTTTTTTAAAAAATCTAGTTGGTTCCTGGTTGTAGTAGCTATCTTAGGGCTGGACTAGATGACCTGCTGAGGCCATTAGACTCTAATCTAGATTAGGAGTTTCCAACCTTGGCAACTTTAAGACTTGTAGACTCTTGAACTCCCAGACTCTTGAACTGCAAAAGGTCACATATTGAGGCCAGCTGCCAAGTGCCCCAAAATCCGATCACATGATTGCTGGGAGACCAATGTCGAACTTCTAAACTGGTTAATAAGTAGCTTGGGGGAGGGTGTGTTGGAACTTCAAATAGTTGCTAAGCAACAAATCTTAAATCGAGAAGTACCTAAAGATAGGAACAGTACCAAAGAAATATCTATCTATCACCTTGTCATCTGGATATATATATTTATAGGTGGTTGAAAAGTTTACTGTGAAAAAAATGGGTGAGTCCTATTCTCCTGTATACAATTATTTATATAGGTAAAGCCTGTTTAGACATTATGGAATCCATACGTTACAATTCGATGTGTTTCCTTACGCAGTACATCCAGCTGGTACTATCATGAGTAACTGCTAAAAGGGGGACTTAATCACATCCTTGCTTTAGTTTTATTTGCAGAGGAAAAGGGAGGAATAAGCAAGTGTACACATTTACTGGGACTGTCAGAGTATGAAATATGTTGCACAACTCCAGAAGAGCCGGCTGGGACTCTGTGTTTCATGCCCCAAAGGCAGGGGAAAACCTCTGGCCAGAGCTGTTGCTGTTTCACAAATGTCCTGTTTTGTTTAATATTCCTTTCGACTCCCAAGACCCCATTGCTGTTGTTACAAATGATTTAATGCTCTTCCACTGGATGAACAAATCGAAGCAAACCTTTATTTATTTATTTCAATTTATATGGCTGTCCGTCTCAAATTCATGATTCTGGGTGGGCCCATAAAACAACCCCAGCAGAACGGTTAATAAAACATCATTTATGGAGAATGGATTCTGATGTTAATAGAAAGTTATGGTGTAGGGGGGAAAAAACACAATTGAGTGCCTTGCTGGCAGTGATGGTATTCAGCCGGTTCACACCGGATTGGACAAACCGGTAGCAAGAATTTGGCGTGGGTTGCCAAACTGGTGGTAACTTCTGGCCGGCCATGCCCCCGATCCGGTTGGCCTCCTACCCGATCTCACGTACCCGCCCGCCTGACATTCGCCTAAGGTATTTCTTTTTTTTCCCCCTCCCGACAATCACCTGTGCATAGATCAGCTGTCCTGGGATTCAGGAAGGCAAAAAATGGAGGGAGGGGAGGCATTTTTTTGCCTTTCAGAGCCCAAAAGGAGGGGAGCAAAAAGACCCCCCCCCAGAGGCTCCTCTGAGGCTAGGAAGCCCCCCCAAATGGGTGGGGGTGGCAACAAAGCAAAAAAAAAGCCACACCCACCCAGTCACATGGCCGCACCCACCAAGCCATGCCCACAGAACCGGTAGTAAAAAAATTTGAATCCCACCACTGCTTGCTGGTATGCATGTTAACCACTTTGCACTTGCTCTTTTATGCACCGAGAGTTGGTTTTTGTTTTTACTTCTCTTTTTCTCTCTTTCTCTTTCTGCTGCTTTTCCGGTACGGTCTGAATTTTCCAGGAGGTGGAGGTCAGTATAGATTGTCTTTAAAAAAAAAAACAACAACACCTACTTCTCATTTTATCCGTCCTGTACCATCTTTCTTCCTTTTGTCTTCTCGAACACAGTGCTTTGGATTGGGTTGCTTTTAAAGATCCTTCTCAGTGGTGGAACCTGGTCCATGAAAAATGAGCCAGACCTTCCCGCCTGCCGAGGATTGCCTGTAAATTCTGATAAAACGCATGTTGCTAAAAGTCTGTGCGCTGTCTCCAAATCATCTCCACAGCCAATTCACAGATATGAGTGGGGTCTTGCTATTTTCTTTCTATCCAGTCCTTTTGAGAAGCAGAAATGTTGACACTTCCCAAAAAGCCATTTGGATTGGAACAAAAAGCTTCTCTCTCCAAGCCAGCCTCTAATTTTAAAGACTGGCAGGAGAAAACGGAGAGGGGTGTGCAGTGCCTTGTCATCTTCCCTTAAAGAAGCTGCTGCCTGAAGTCAAAATATCTCCTTTTATACTCAAGTCCACCCTCCTCCTTCTCCCGCCTCATCACTTCAAGGAAAATGGTGCTTGGCAGAAATGCCACCTTTGAGTTATCACACACACACAAAAGGCTTATTTTAGACATCATAGTTTCTTTGTTTTCCATCATAAACCTTAAGATTGCATGAAAACCAGCATAGACATCACCACATCTCGCTTACAAAAGCCGTGAATATTATGACACCTAAGATAAATGCAACTTTTTCATTCCAGACAACCACTTGACTCTGTGATCATTTTCTCATTCCAAGTTTCTCATTGCAAGTTCCTCACTGAAGTAGATGGTTGACATTAGCATTTTGTGTTGTAATGCCAGATTCTCTTAAAATACATGCCAGTTGACAATGCTGTCAGTATGCAAAGTGTAAATCAAAAGTTCTTGTAGGCTGGGGGTTGTTCTACAAGGTTGTGCAGATTCCTTGCAAATATATTCTTGCAAAAATGTTTGCATGTTTTTGGCTGTCCTTTGCTTACTGACAATTTTCTCCTTTTACCAGTAGACTAGTAAAACTGTTAACCAGCATGGCAAGGTTATCAGTTTCCATCAACTAGAAATCAAATTAGGAAATGTGGATTTTTACTACAGAAGACCACTGTATCATATGGAAATTGATCAGAGAGAAAAACACGGTGATGTTTCAAACGCATCACGCCAATCAATTCTAAATTTTAGCAAAAAAGTTTGCTGAGATTGCAATGAAACAGAGTGGCAGTCCTGTACCCCGAGGGCCGTACCATTAAACCATTTTTATTTTGTTCTTCTGGCTGAGTGAGCATGTTTATCTTTAATTGCACAAGACTTTTAAACCAGAAAATATTGAATTGATTTTCAATGGGCTGTTATTTCATTTTGTGGCTTGCCACTTTTGGAAAGTCTCATTAAAAATTATAAGAGGGATGGGGATACGCCCTGATGGTCTGGAACTCCTGGCTTAAATATTTTAATTGAACACGGGCAGATTCCCTGGGTTAGACTTTGTCCATTTCCTTTTCTCTGTGGAGTTTTTTTATTTTTTGAAAAAAAATCTCCTTTACATTCTTCTCCTGGAACAAAATTAGATCCAACAGAAACTGTAGGCAGATCGGGGTTTCTGTTGCTAAAATTAGGTCTATCAATAAAGTACAGATAGTCCTTGACTTATGACCACAATTGACCTCAAAATTTCTGTTGCTAAGCGACACAGTTGTTAAGTGAATTTTACCCTAACCCTTTCTTGTCATGGTCATTAAGGGAATCACAGTGTCAGGGCTCCGGCAGTTACCCCCATTTAAATCATGAGTCTCAAGCCAACTTCCAAAGCTTAGAGATTTATTAGGAGTAAACATGCTGACACTGCCTGAGTGTAGCCGACTCTGAGACACATCATTCATTGTCACCTTTGACCCTGGTTTTTCCCCACCCCCTGGCTGTATCATAATTCATATTCTCCAATGGGACACATCCATAGCCAAGAGTCATAAATCATAATCTCCAGTTAGAATTTTGCGTGGCAGAAACTTCAGTCACCTAGTTACTATCTTTGAAAACATTTATGGAATGCACTTTCGGTTTGCAAGCTGCCACACTGCTCCCTCCTTCCCTTTCTGCTGGCAACTCTAAAGACCATAGAAATATTTCATGAGTTGACACACAACAGCTGTCAAGTCAGTAACACAATTGTTAAGTGAATCTGGCTTCCCCTTAGAGCTTGCTTGTCATAAGGTTGCAAAAGGGGTTCACATGAACCCTGAGACACTGCAACGGTCATAAATATGAGGCAATTGCCAAGTGGCTGGATTTTGATCATGTGACCATGGGGATGCTGCAAAAGTCGTAAGCGTGAAAATGGTCATAAGTATTCTGAACCAACCTAATTCCAAGAAAGCCAACACTAGACAAAGGCAGCACCCCCCACCTTTTAAGGTTTAATTCACAAATTCTGTTTCTTCACAGATAAAAGGCTACTTCCAACTAATTAGCTCTGACAAGAAAGAGCCTTGCCAGGTTGTTTTTCAAGGCTGCCAAAACCCCACAGATAAGGAATAGTTTTCAAGAGTTTTCAAATACTAACTATAATGTCCATGAGGCTGAGTTTCAGAGCGTCTTTGCCTTCTGCAAAGAATGCTTCTTCAAACCTGGCTTTTATCCTCTTGAGGGAGGGGCCATTACCTTGCAGCCTTACTCCCGAGTCACCCGTGCTGTTGTAACTGCTCTTTCCTACAAGCAGCCCTGCGCGCACACGCACTTGGCACAGGCTCCTCGGGAACCTCCTCATCACTGCTGCCAGCCCCCACAATCTCTGAAGGCAGCAGTCCACTCCCTGATGGTCCTGGCCCCTCATCAGAATCCTCGCTCTCCTCCACTGTCCGCACCTGCTGCCGGCTAACCACAACAATAAGTCACTTTTTTTTTCAGGGCCATTGTAATAGTCCCTAAACAAACAGTTGTAAGTCAAAGACTATCTGTGTCAGATATTGTACCCTCTGAATTAATGTTCCTTCTGAGGCAATTTATCACAATTTATCACAATCTCCTTGGGTGTGTTAAAACTGGAGATTTCCCCCTTCATTCCAGTCCTATAATGCTGTGCACAAGATTTAAGAAGACTTTTGATTTACCTGGCATTCTGAATAACAAGGTTTTTTTTATTTCTGACATTTTCTGTAGTCTAAATAGTTAACTTGTTCTTTTTTTCCCTTTCCCTAACAGGATGACTACATCAAGAGCTGGGAAGATAATCAGCCAGTAGATGAGGGTAATTTTTTTTCCTATTTATAGTGCTTATTTTTTTTAGTGTTGTTGCCTGCAAGAAAAGAGTAGCTGAAGATGCTTGGAAAGAAAGGGTTTTTGTTTTTTTGCAAATTACTGAGAATGAGGAGAAATTGAACTGAGATGGTTCATCTCATTTGCTTTGTTATCCACTGTAAACATTTGAAAATAACTGCATGCCAGGATGAAATGTAAAGAGAAATGTTTTGCTTCCTTCTGTTTTTATCAGCTATGGATGCATTTTACAAATTGCAACATTCCTCGTAGATGAAGGCTATTATTTTCCTTTTTATCTTTAAAGTTAGAAGAGAATAGAGTAGAATTCTTCATTGGCCAAGTGTGATTGGGCACACAAGGAATTTGTCTTGGTGCAAATGCTCTCAATGTACATAAAAGAAAAGATACATTCGTCAAGAGTCAAGAATCATAAGGTACAACAACTATTGATAGTCATAGGGTACAATAAGCAATCAAATCATACTAGGAAACAGTCTATATAAATCGTAAGGATACAACCAACAAAGTTATAGTCATACAGTCACAAGTGGGAAGGGATGGGTGATAAGGCGTGATGAGAAGATTAACAGTAATAATAGTGCAGACTTTGTAAATAGTTGGACAATTTGAGGGAATTATTTGTTTAGCAGAGTGATGGCATTTGGGGAAAAACTGTTCTTGTGTCTAATTGTTCTGGTTTGCAATGCTCTATAGCTTCATTTTGAGGGAAGGAGTTGAAACAGTTTATGTCCAGGATGTGAGGGGTCTGTAAATATTTTCACAGCCCTCTTTTTGACTTGTGAAGTATACAGGTCCTCAGTGGAAGGCAGGTTTTTCTGCATTTCTAATTACTCTCTGTGTCTGTCCTGTTGGGTTGCAGAACCAGACCAGACAGTTATAGAGGTGCAGATGACAGACTCAGTAATTCCTCTGTAGAACTGTGTCAGCAGCTCCTTGGGCAAATTTGGGGTTTCTCATTTGGAAAAGAGCCAATTTAAATATTAGGGCGTTTCAAATGCCAGGAGTCAAGAATGGGTTCCAATTTTTCTTCTCTATGGTTAAAATCCATCTCTCTTGAACAGCTTCCTTTGTGATTTTATATTTTCTAGCAATAGATCTGTGTTCTGTTTCTTTTTCTAATTCTCTTGGGAAAAAGTCTTGTTGTATAACATATATTACAACGGAAGTAGTTTTCCCTGTGTTAATTTAATTATAGTGCCCTCTAACAATATGCTATTGAATATTTGTACTTAGGATTTGCTATAAACAATAATAAAAAATCCTTTGTGCATTAACATTGCATTTTGAACTCCAGATTCAGACTGGTACAACTTCCATTCATAGACAATCTACCTGCTATTGTGTATCCTCAAAACGATTGAATGGGGACTGGAACACAGGTTATTTTGCTGTTTCTTTCTCTGCTCTGGAGTTCAATAGACTTGGCTGTCCATGTTCCTGCTCAGTTATTTTCTGAGTGAATTTGGATTGTGTTCCTGGTTTTAATTAACTGCAGTGCAATCCTCTACAGGTCTATTCAAAAGTAAGCCCTGTTGCTTTTAATGGGGATTAGTCCCTGTTAGATTATTATACAATTGAACTGCTGGTCTTTGTTTGTTTAAACGTGGTGGGGTTGCAGTAAGCCATTAATGTAAGTTTTTGGTGTGGCAGGTGTTTAGTGAGTCAGAATGCCTGCTAAATGGCAAAAATAAAGATTTTCAAGACCCAAAACGAATTTGTTCTTGACACATTTTACTTTATTGATAAGTCAGTACCAATATTGAAGGGAAGGGAGAATATTTTTCAGACAGTTTAATCAAATAAATAACTCTTCTGTTTGGAAACTCTGCTGTTTGGAAACAATTCATTATTGCCTGAAATTTGGACAAAACTTGGTTCCAGTGAGTTTTGTCCATTAATTCAGCTATCTGTGAAACCAATGTGCATTATGCTGAAAATTTACCATATTGAAAACGAGTCATATTGGGCTAACTGGTTAATTCCTAGAAGGTTAAATTTAGCCGCAAACAAATGCAACCAAGCCTAAGATTAAAGTAATCAAACCAGTCCATCATGCTGAGCAATCTTCAAAGTCCCAGTCCTTGCCCTCCAAAAGAAAGAGACAAAGAGAAAGAAGAACTGAAAAGGAAAAGTTTCTGCATTACAAAAGTATTTCAAGGCCCACCAAAACAGAAAAGCTCCCTTAAGCACTGATTGATTAGCGTGGCTCAACTAACCTGCTGTTATTTATCAGGCCAATAGGAAAGATTTACTGACGCAGTGTAATTTTGCTAGCTCTATTCTGGTTCTAGAGCTCAAAAGATGCTAAGTGCTTTGCTTATTTGAAAACATATGCAAGTACTTTGAATTTTGAAAATATTGACTGTGATCATGGACAGATGAAGGAGGTTTGACAAGGCTAGTGGCTTTGGGAACGGGATTGTGGTTTAGGTGAATGATGGAAGCCGACTATTTTTTAAACATCTGTGCAGTTTATATTTTTATACAGGTTACAGGTTACTTGTCTTCCTTTCCTGGTGCCATTTCTTGGCTAGTATCTTGGAGCTGAGATTTCACAAGCGGTTGATCCAAAAATACTGAGTGGGTGCACAGTGTAGGAAATGAGAAGTTTGTTCAGTGAAATAAAGCACTGGACTTTGAGTAAATGCCCACATTATAAAATAAAAAAATAAAAATAAAACAGGGTGGTACATTTTATGGAAGAAATGAAAGAGTAGAGTAGAATAGAATAGAATAGAATAGAATAGAATAGAATAGAATAGAATAGAATAGAATAGAATAGAATAGAATAGAATAGGAATAGGAATAGGAATTAGGAATAGGAATAGAATAACAGAGTTGGAAGAGACCTTGGAGGTCTTCTAGTCCAACCCCCCTGACTAGGCAGGAAACCCTATACCATTTCAGACAAATGGTTATCCAATCTCTTCTTAAAACCTGCTCCAGTGTTGGAGCATTCACAACTTCTGGAGGCAAGTTGTTCCACTGACTAATTGTTCTAACTGTCAGGAAATTTCTCCTTAGTTCTAAGTTGCTTCTCTCCTCGATTAGTTTCCATCCTTATTGCTTCTTGTCCTTCCCTCAGGTGCTTTGGAGAATAGCTTGACTCCCTCTTTTTTGTGGCAGCCACTATGAGATTGGAACCCTGCTATCATTGAGTTGTGTCCCACTCTTGGTGGCTTTATAGGCAAATTCTCCCCATGCTGCCTCCTCAAGCACAGCTTCTTTCAAATGTTGTATATTCAACTTTGGATCAGATTTGATGTTATCAAGACAAGATGTTATCTTTGCTTCCCCCTTCTTCTTGTTCCAACAACCACATACAAGGAGATAATGCAATATGCATGGATTATTTGATGGTTTCCTTAAAAATACAACTGGTCTGTAGGATAGTGTTCTTGGGAGACACAATGTCATAGTTACCCACTTGGCTATTTTTCCTTTATCTGTCGCGTTGAGCGACCGGTCTGTTGTTTCGCCTTTCTGGTTGATTGCTGAATTCCTCTCAGAAAATAACCCTCTCCAGGGTGAGATTTAAAGTAGCCCTCGCAAGGGCGAGACAGTGGGACCCTCGCAAGGGTGAGGCCAGGCAAGACTCACAAAAGAGTGATTGCCAAGCAAGCACAAGAAATAAAACACACAAAACACAAGAAATCTTCAAAATGAGGCAGCACTTTGAGCCTGGGGGAGATGGGATTCCCTGGCTGCCCTGGAACAGATGGAAAAAATCCAGGCCTCTCTGCTTCTCCTGCTCATTTCTTCTCCTTTCTCCTCCTTATTCCCCCCCAGGCCTTTTGCTGTCCTCTTTTATTGTGCTAATTCAAGGGAGGGGGTGAAAGAGGAAATTTACAGAAAGGTAAAGAGATACAATGTTAATCTTTTTTGACCAGTTTACGTGACATGAGTCATATACTCTATAGCTGTTATTTTGTAACTGTTATAGACAGGCATATCTCCTTGGAATACACATTATTGTCTGGGGTTATTCTTTTATTTAACTTCCTCCCTGTCAGTGCTTCCCTGCTGAGCTGAATACGTGCCTTCCAGCAAGATTTCTTTTTATGGAAAAATACAAGACAGAACCAATGTAAAATAGTCACAATTCCTCCTTTCTTTTATTTATTTTTTTGTGCTCATGACTCTAGGTAGAGTTCTTTCTCTTCCAGAGTAGTCTCACAAGGTGGCAACAAGCCCTTCGGTTTGTTGATGCCTTGCAGAACCAGCTCATACGAGGAGAAGTCCTCATCCCCCGAGTCGTGGCTGGACCTAGTTAAGAAATTTTCTTTGGGAGAAAAGAAGTTATTAATGTCTATTTCCTCCTCTGACTCTTGGTCAGAGTACCATTCCAACAGCGGTTTTTTGACCAGATCTTTTGATTCAATGCTGGATGTAAGAAAGCTAACTGTTTTTTGAGTATTGTTAATTTCATTGTCAAGTGTTTTCAAACGATCCCTCAATAATTTTAGTAAACGTCCTATTACACATGGACCAATAGTACATGCAAGAAGCAATAACACAAGAGGACCTATTAAGGCTGATAAGAGTGTTGTTAACCAGGGAGAAAAATTAAACATGCTTTGATACCATGGCTGTCCTTGTTGTCTTTCATTCTCTCTATCCTTCAACCGTTTACGTAATTCAGCCATGGAATCTTTAACAATTCCTGAATGATCAGCATAAAAACAACATTCTTCTTTTATTGCTACACATAATCCCCCTTTGTTTAAAAATAATAAATCCAGACCTCTTCTGTTCTGGAGAGTCACTTCAGCCAGAGATGAGAGAGAATTTTGAAGAGCAGTAATTGAAGTCTCTATTCGTTTGAGATCTTCATCTATTTGTAAACTAAGAGTAGCTAACTGTTGATGACCAACAGCTAAAGCTGCTGCACCTGTGACTGCACCTGCTGCCCCAAGGCCTAACAATACAGATAGTGTTATAGCTGTTATTACTTCTCTTTTTTGATGA